TTAAAATGAAGCGAGTCTATACACATCTATGTGCTAGTGTTTACCCCTTCCAATATTTTTTAACTGGAACACTTACTTAAAACTTTCAATTTTCAAACAAAAAGAGCTTGCCAGGGCCAATTCTCAGAAATGTTCCAAGATATATTTTTAATAAATAATTCTGAAATAGCAAATTTAATACAATAACATTGATCCAATGAGTAAATTTACAGATCTGAGAACTTCCCAATTCATATTCACAATGAGGTAGGGAGAGTTGTTTCATGCATATGAGCAGACAGGTGAATGGACGGATCACATGTTGCTAATAGGTGCTCTGCAATGTTGCATTCGCGCCTAAAAAGAAAATTTTCAAATAAGTTTGTAATAATCACGACATAATTATAGTTTTTATGACTTGGTCCCATGCATATGCTACATTCTAAGAATGTAAACTATAAATTACATTTTGCACGAAAACAAAAATGATTTATAAGGGGCATTAATACACTAACAATGCATCCACATTCAGTTTTAATAAAAAATTTTTGGTGCTTATTTTTAACAGAATTCTGGAAGTCCTCAAAAGCATATTCTACAAAAACACGTCTCTATACACAGTAAATCATAACACATCATATCCTATAGAAATAAAATTTCCTTAAAGACTTCTCGCTAAATTTTTGCACATGCCCTTCATAAGAGAGTTTCCTGACCTTTGTTACTAACAACTATACCCTGGAAGTTTGACAACTCACTTCCGTGCACTACTGCATTCCCCTTTATTATTATTATTATTATTATTATTATTATTATTATTATTATTATTATTATTATTATAGCTTTAACACAAACTGAAGTCTACTCGTTTGCAATTTTTTTGGGGAGATCTTCCCCCCCATTTTGGAGGGAAAGGGAAATATTTCTTTTAATCTATTTTAAATATTTTGATCTTATTTCCTTTTCTTCCTTTTTTCTCCTGGCACCTATTTTGAATAAGCTGGAAACCCATCAGCAAGAGCGGACACTATCACATTATTTCAAGAAGACGTGTTTAACTCGGCCTCCATGTACCAGACGGTTTAAAAACAGCTGCCGAAAACGATTTAACACCATGGATTCCTTTCATTGATGACAACTAGTTCTCTTTGATCACAAAAAATCTCTTATAAACTACACATACATTTGAAATTTGATACCTTTGTTCTTTATTTAGACTATTTTCTTTGTTAATATTAATTTGGTACATATTTATGCCCTTTTAAACTTGTGGTTTTAGCGAAATTGATATATATATATATTTTTTATGTTAAGTCTAATTGTTTGAAAATTAAGTTTTCATTTTCACTTTTTCTGACTAATTTCAGCAAAATTAATGCAAGAACTTCCAGGCTCAACAAATTACATATTAACAATGTAAATATTTTTAATCAATGTTTTCAAGAATCAGTAAATAGTTATATTGTTAAATAATTAATTAACTCTCATCTCAGTAAAGACTTGCAATCAGTATTTGCCTTTTTTGTTCTTTTTACAATCACTAACATATTTTAATCTTTCAATAAATGGAACACCAAACAAAGACCTTTAAAAATAAAATAAAGAAATGTATTTCTGCACATGTATGGGTAAATGATTTTAAAATTCAATGACTTTTATACTCTGTACAATAATACATTTTTCATGCACAGATCACCTGTAAAACTTTCCCCAGTAAAAGAGAGTGTGTGTTTGATATCAGCCATATTACTCTCCAAAAAATGGAACACCTTAAAAACACTTACATTCATTTACATCATGAACAGCTAAAGTAGGATTTTTTCTCCCCCCCCCCTCCATTTAACCTGAAGTGTTAACAAACCTGTCTCATAAGATTTTACAATGTTTTTAAAATTTAAAGGGAAAAAGAAACTAAATGTTTTAAACTAACACATATTTAACACTCTCATTTCTAATGTATCAACTCATTAAGTGACTTATTTTACATAATGTGTACATATTGAACAATCCTGTCATAACATACTAATCTTTAGAAATTTACATTTCATCATAGCTACACCATGATATATATTAATGTGACTAATTAATCCCAGAGTACAATGATGAGATAAGACCTTCCTGCTCATCAAATGTCTCAGCCAGCCATTTTCAGTACGGCATTGTCCTTTTTGATCCTTTACTTTTAGACGAAATTTTTCAGGAAAAGTAGTGAAGAATTTTCTTAAGTAAAGCAATAAATGCAATATGCAATTGATCCAAAAACTAATACATTTGTTATATGACCTATTGCATTTATGACATTACTGACAAACATTTTTTCTTGTACCCATTTTTTCCCCCCTTACGCCACGGACTTGATTCTGTTGTTGTTTTCTTTTTTTAAAACTTTCTTTTTTAGAGGTTTTGTTTCATTGATGAAGTGGATTTCAATTATTAAAATATGACTGCATTAATCAAGATTGCTTACATTTAACAGACTTTATTCTAAAATTTATGCTACAGGAACATACAAGAAAAACTTAGGTTACCTTTACTAAGGACCCTGCAAATTGAATTTAATGCAGAGTTGTTAAAAATTTAGTACATGTATTTCAAAGCCTTGAATTATTACAGTAACCTTTTGGAGTTATTTTTAATTTGTATTAAAAATCAAAATTGTAAGAAAATTTGTGGAATATGTTTATACTTAGGAAGAGTCACGTGGAAGAGATTTAGCTTGAGTACCCAAGTATGTATTTTATAAAGAACACAAACAAAAATGTATATCCTGCAACCCGCCTCAGAAATTTAGCACAAAGACGCATGGTATGAAGACCTCCTTGGGAAAGAACATGGTAACACTGTAATTAGTGTGAATTAGGAGTAAAAAAGAGCTTTCCAAGAAAGGAATTAAATATTTAATAAATAAATGGGTGAAGGAGAACTATGTTGTATTATTACGTGTAGCCACTTACCAGCTGAGTACCTGATAATAATATGATGGAGGCTACGGACAGATTTCATAAGTCAACTTATACCCTACCTTCATGTAGACCTTCATAGCCTACTCAGAAGTCATATGTTCTCTCATATTCAACTTATTTGAATTATTGTAAACGCCTCTCAGATAAACATAGGACACAAAAATAATGCTATGTTAATTCCTTCTAACATCTTTTAAAGATCCGCTTTTAATACAGGAGTTTCCATGAAGCCATTACACTTGCTGACAGTTTTAAATTGTTTTGTAAATATCTGGCAAGTGGTGAAAGAGAAATTTATCACTAGGGTTCAGAAAGGATCTAATAATATATGTTCTAAATAATGAAACAATAATTCTTTATCTAAATAAAGGAGGGGAAAAAACCATGTTCACGTCCATCGTTGACAGCATTAGTAAGGTTATCTTTATGAAATACCAATGTTTTTGTTAGACATTGCTCTTATTTTTCCGAGACAAAGGCTCTCTGAAATCTTTTCTACATCCAACAGAGCACACAGTAAGCATGAGTGTAATCTGAATTCTGGAAGTCTTTTGTATATTCCACCTGACAACTCTGATCCTTTCTCCAAACCTAGATATAGCTAGCATCACAGTGCTATACACCTCTCAATGCCCTGCTGCCCTTCACTGAGAGCCTATAGTTGATCATCTCGTTTAACTTAACCAATGCAATGCCTAGGTAGCATCTAAAAATTAACTGCGACTGCAGAACTATAATTCTGTAGAATTTAATTTACAGTAAATGAATGGAAATTGTGATGCAATGATGACTTACAAGACTAACTATAGAAATGAAATGTGTAAACGTAGTAACTGGCCCATGCCGCAATACTGTTAACTAACAGAAGTTAATTTCTTAAGCAAAATAAAATGGTTGCAATTCAAATTTTAAGGAAAGAACTATTTCAAACTGAAGTATTATACTTCAGTGATCAACTATGAATTACAGGCAGTATTGACTCACACTTCAGTATACTCAGCATTTGATAAACCCCAAAATTTGATGCAATACCCACAGAGCCCACTCTTCAATAATGTGCGGTGGTAAAAATGGAATAAAGCGGAGTACACCAACTCCTAACACTAATCACTAGAAACTCCAGACCTATATGCTCTTCGTTGTTGTTTATGAAGAGACTAGTTGAAAACAAAAAGTAAACAAGAAAACAACTTATGAAAATTCTGTTTATCAGAATAAACCTATTTCAGTTTTATTATAATTTTTGACGAAAGTATTTAAGCAAATATGGCAAACACAACTGATATACTTAAATATCCTCTAAATTTTTAAAATCCAAAAGCATAAACGGCAATTCACATCGAGCTGTTTTGAACAGTATCCAAGAACAGAAAAATGCATTGTACCTCCCAAAACTAATTAAATCTTTGTAAATGTCTCTCGATTAATATAAGATAGAGCTAGAAACATTCTTTCAGTTTCCAACACATCAATACTTTCAAATTCATGCACCCACATTCAACAGGAATGAAAGAAAAAGAAAGGAATTAATGCAGAAAAACAAAAATAGATAAGCACGGGGTGGAGGGTTGCAAAATTTGCCTAATTTACCATAATTTTAATTTAAAAAAATTAATAATGAGGGTGGGAATGTAAAGCAAGATCCAGCAATTAGAAGATTAAATAATCTTCTAGAGATAAATAGAATTAAAAACATTACAAAAGAATTATTGGTATTAGTGACAAAATGGTTTTGCAGAATGGAAGAAGGGACAGGCTAATTGAGTTTCTACTGGAACAGCAACAACAGACTATGAAATTATGCTTAATTTCCTTATTTCCTAAATACTATCTTTCCTTTTTTTTTAGCCACCAACTTCATCCCTTTAATTTCTGTTTTCCTAAATGCATTTCATCTCCAATGCATTTCTTACAATTCCTCTAATTTTACTACAGCTCAGAGGAAGAAGAAAGAAACATTTACCATAATCAAGACTTTTTTCTTAGGTTTTTGAAAATAAAGCAGTTAGTACTTACAGGAAATGCTACGGCAAATTTGCCGTTAGTAATGAAACTTACAGTATGGCTTACGTGGCTTTTTCCTAAGACAGGAGGCGACATATGACTCCAGTTCCCGCAATGTAGATGGCTTTAAAGTCTCAAAATCGATTTCAATTTCATCAGGATTAGAATCCCTCAATGATGGTTCCCGAGACTGGATGATGTGGACCACTCTTCCAAGTTTGTCTCCTGAAAGTAGATTTTTAATTTTAAACATTCATAATTTAAAACTTTTAAAACTTAGAAACTGAGGCAGTAATTCACATTTAAAACAATTCTAAGCTAGTGAGTAGTAGGCTATATTAGCAACAAAATATGATATGGAATAAATTTCATTGCAATCAAATAATGATACATTTTTACATTTTACATAAGTTGTCTGTTTACATGTATAGGTACAACATTTAAAAAAGAAATTTGGCACTGAAGATATTCTTAAAAAAGTTTTTTTTTAATGTTTAAATGACGTTGGCACTATCAAGGTCATAATGACAACTTTTTCCACAAAGCAAATCCCTGAAAAATAAATTCTCTTGGTGGCAGCAACAGAGGCGGTAGCGTTGGTAGTGATGATTGTGTGGAGGAGTAAGTGTGTCAGGAAGTTGTTTTGTTTTCCTTATCTTCTAATTGATGCACATTGATGCCTATTTAATGCTATCAATCATTTGCATGAAGATGAAGCGATAGTAAATTTTATTTCCTTAAAACTTTTGAGGAATGCTTTGCAACCCCTTGTGTTAGACACATGATTTAGCAAGGTTATGTATTATATCAAATATTTAAAAAAAACAATGCATAGAGAGAAACAGAGAGAGAGAGAAACAGAAACAGAGAGAGTAAGGAGAGAGAGAGAGAAAGGGGAGAGAGAAAGAAGAGAGAGAGAGAGAGAAACAGAAACAGCAGAGAAGTAAGCGAGAGGAGAGAGAGAGAAAGGGGAAGAGAAAAGAAGAGGACGAGAGAGAAAAGAGAGGAATGAGAGAGAAAGAGGGAAGAGGAGAGAGAAGAGAGAGAGAGAGAGAAAAGGAGGAGAGAGGAGAAGAGAAAGGAGGAGAGACGAGAGAGAGAAAGAGAGAGAGAGAGAGAGAAAGGAGGAGGGAGATGGAGAGAAAATGGAGGTGAGGAGAGAGAGAGAAAGGAGGGAGGGGAGAGAGAGAAAGGAGGGAGGAGAAGAGAGAAAGGAGGCAGAGAGAGAAAGGAGAGAGAGAGAGAGGAAAGAGAGGAGAGAAAGAAAGGAGGAGGAGAGAGAGAAAGGAGGGAGGAGAGGAGAAAAGGGAGAGGGAGGACAGGAGAGAGAGAAAGGAGGGGGAGAGAGAGATAAAAGGAGGTAGGGAAGAAGAGAAAGGAGGGAGGAGAGAGAGAAAGGAGAGAGGAGAAGAGGAGAAGGAGGAAGGAGAAGAGAAAGGAGGGAGAGAGAGAAAGAGAGCGGGAGAGAAGAGAGAGAGAGAGGGAGCAGGGACGATCAAGAAAAGGAGAGGAAGAGAGAAAGGAGGAGAGAGAAGAGAGAGAGGGGCAGGGACGGTAAGATACACAGAGAGAAAAGGGAGAGGGAAGGAGAGAGATGGAAGGCAGGACATCTGCCAAGTTCCACTAGTGTACTATATATTATCTTCTGTTGTCTTTTTGATGTTATGTCATTCACACTTGATCATGAGCAAGAAGATATGCTTTCATGTGTAACAACTTACTATTTTCCCAACAATGCCTTAGTTGTTTAGTGTGCCTCTATGCAAAGGGAATTATAAATTCGGTCAATCCATATTTCATTTATTACTTTTAAATTTTTCCACCCAATGCTCATTCTCTGACTTTGAATATTTACATTGTCTGGTCGTACAGATGTTTTTGTATCCCTAAATAATTTCACTACTGTAGAAAGCATCATAGCTAACAGAATTCAATAAAACATGAGAAAAGTTTTTCTTAAACTCATCCTTGAAAATTTATTAATAATATATAATCAAAGCAAAATTTCTTTAACATTTACCTACAAAATTTTGTTGTTTTTTCATGAATGTGTGTTAGCTCTCAGCTTTAAACATCTTATGCATACAGAATTTCTTGAGTTTTGTTTTGTATTTTGTTATAAATAGGAGTAGATTTTGAATTGAGAGTTTTGTGGTCTCTCTACAAGTAAAAAAATTGGAGTCATTTATTAGAAAATTGGATTGTTTGTTGTAAAATTTGCCACAAAAAGTTTGCAAAAACAACTTATTTTCAAAAAAGACATGAAATATTTAAAGATCAAATTCTGAACAATAGATTGCATTAAGAAAGACTAACTTCAATAATGAAGGTAAAGTTAGGATTGAAAAAAAAATTGAAACTTTAACAATTTTTGAGGTTTAGAGGGATAAGACAGTAAAGAGAGGAACAGGAGGAGAGATACTTGAGATGTGTGAAATTTATTATTGTTTTATCATCAGTATTGAACTGGTCTACACAGTTAATTAGATAGTAAATCCTGAAAATGTATGATATGCTACTCAAAAAGGCATACATTTCATACATCGTTAGAAAAGTGGAATTTTTTCCAATAAGGAATTTAGTAATAAATTACCACAATCCTCCTGCATTTTAATAATTCTCATATTGGTGTTCTTGGCACAAATTATGACAGTTCCGAAGCTTGAGAATTTACATAGGTTTATACATTTTCCAGGCAATTCAGTACAAACAAAAGCTGAACATCTTTTTGTCAAAATTTCATTTAAATTTCACATCAGAAACCTATTTATTTATTTATTATGCATTCCACAACAAATTTAAAAATATCATTAAATTTGTGAACTAACAAAAATGTACACCTTCATACAAAGGGGTGTTCAGAATAGCAACATATTTGCAACCTCACACGTAAAAGAGACAGTGACACTACGCTATAGGCATCCAAATTGTGGTGCAGCTCCAATCTTCGGCTAACATCCTAGAGTCTGTCCAACGTCTAATCTCCATTTAATTCCAATTAATTTATAAGAATCAAGGACTCATCTTGGACATTCATCAATTAGTCAAGCAAACACAGTCTCAAACAGCCATTTGTGACACAAAATGTCGAAAATTATTTTTATTAATTTTAGTTAGATTTCACATGCTACAATGTCATTTGTTTGATATTCCCTCTTAATGGATCCATTCAAAAACATAAATTACTCAACGAATTTGCAGAAGATGCAAGACGTCGCCTACAAATGTGACTAGGAAGACTGTTCTTCTTAAATAGTTTTTGCAACTTGTTGACATGGTAGTGTTCTTTTTCTCACAGATCCTAATGGCTGGACTTAATTTGGGAATACAAGGAGACGCTGTATTTTCTGACTGAAATATTTACGACAAAAAGTTTTGAGTAAATACACTACATGAGTAGACAACAGTTGCCATTAGTTTTAACTAACAAAATTTCCTTACTTTATAAGTTTCGCCGATTTCAATTTTTCCCCTGTTCATATACTGAAACAGTATTAACTAAACTCCATCCATGAGTCACTTACGGTTAGACCCCTTCCAGTCCAACAATAAAGAGAAATGAAATGGAACATTATTATCAGTTCAGTCTCCTGCTGTGTAACGGATAATTTTGTTTTTGGAGCTATTTAGAAGACTTAATTCCAAAACCGTTTTGCATTTCTTAGCGCTGTGTTCTAATGGTGCCTTTGTGAAACACATGCACCAACACCATGGCACCAAGGGAATGACAGGTTCTTAGATAGTTTCACCAGGACACTACGTAGGATAACAATTGTTTAAGACAATTCCTTTTTGAGGAATAATTTCAACTAAAAAATTATATTCTGATCTAAATACCAGAATAGAATGGTATTCTCTAGAATAAAAGTTTGAAATCACAGAAATTTTTTTTAATAAGTCACCTGATAATTCTCCAAATTTAAAGTTCTGGTGTGAGTAGAAGTAGTAGCCTGAAAAAACGTCCGCTAAGAAGAGTTGCAACCACACATTTCATTTTCACCAAAAATGTAACAGATGGTCCTACATATATTTTCTTTGTAAGTATGTTATTATGAACATAACTCATCCCTTTGAACCTCAAAAACCAGGGTATAAGTCCATAGGACACTGGTTTTTATTAATGTAGGATTGACGATGTGTAAATAAATAAACCATACGCAGGTCATGTATTGCAGATTTGATTTGCGCCTGCTTCATTGCGACTAATTTTTTCAACCTATCAAAAGTCAAAGTGCAATTCATCATTTTAAGAAGAAATCCTTTCTTTTCACACCTCATTTCTTAAAAATAGTTATGTGCAAGTTCTTCAAAGGGTATTTACAATGCAAAAATAATTGGCAGGCGTGCATGTAAAAGGGGATAAATCACGTTTTTGTCCAAAAGGAGTATGCTAGGACATCGTTTTACTACAATACTATCATTGTGTATAGGAGAATAAGTGACATTTCAATTTTGCCATTTAACTTTAATGGTAAAATTGAAAAATCACTTATCCCCTTATACACAATGATAGTATACTACTAAAACAATGACCACTCAAACTAGGTTTGGACAAAAACTTGGCTTATCCCCCTTTTACAAAGGCACCCATTATTATTATTATTATTATTATTATTATTATTATTATTATTATTATGTGGAAAAACTAATGACCGAACGATAACATTTAAAAAATAAATTTGTAAAAGGTCCTAATGAAATTCCAGAAAAAAAAAAAATTAAAAGATTGTGCAAGTGATTTTGCATTGCTATTTTATTTAACAAATTACGTTCAACAAACTCCTTCCCAAAAGGTTGGAAGAAGAGTTTCTTTACATTGATTTTTAAACCCAGTTAGAGAAATGATACCACAAACTATTGACCTGTATGTATCTTAATGATGTCAAAGAGTTTGAAAATATTATATTTGATACCCCGAAATCTCGGTTAAAATATATTATAAAATAACAACATGATTTTGTAAATGGTAAATCAACCACAAAAAAATTACTGCTATTTACTAATGTGAAAAAGTACTAGGATAAGGGCAAACAAAGAGATGTAATTTACACGGATTTCAGTAAAGTGTTTGATAAAGTTCATATTGATATTCTATTGAAAAAGTTTGAAAAAATGGGTTTTGAAGGATTTTTCGTGGAATGCTCAAGAAGTTATTTGAGACAGAACACATCTAGTAAAATACAGACATTTTAACTCTTGTTAAATTAATGTAACATCAGGAGTCC